AGATGAATATAAATCTAAATTATTAATTGGTAGTTTTTGAATTATAATAAATTTTATATAAATTACTAATTTAAATATTAAAGTTACTTAAATGGTAATATCTACATTTTCTATTGTAATTTATGGTATGCAGTGAAGGTTAGTTTTCAATGATCATTCACACAATTCTCTTTTTTCGGAAAACTTACCAATAATTCACTTTTAGATTATTCATGAATAAGACTGATTGACTATCTGGAAATATATAATTATGCTTTCTCAGAGTGAGAGAAGAATAGTTTATTAATTGTAGAATATCGATAGGTATGAGTCCATATGGATCCTTGGATTTTTCTCCCATTAGTTTCGATTGAGTCAGAACTAGAAATATTGGTTTTCAAACTTTGCAGTTTTGTTGACTATTAATTTGTTTAATGTTTACTAAATCAAAATCTTTGACTTTTGAGATCTTCTTTGAGTTGCTTTCAGAAAATGTATTTTGTTTTCTCGCCACAATATACCTGTATGGAGCGCAACCTCTTTTCCTTCTTAGGTAGTACTGATATGTAGAAAAGTCAATACTGAAATGTTAATAGTCGTACACGTCACGATTGTTATTTGAGAATTAATGAATTGTTGCGAGCCAAATGAAATAATTTGGAAACTCAAATATTTTTCGGAGACTTTACTGAATAGCAGACTACTTGTATAATCTCCTCTTGATCTTATTGCCTAATTGCAACTGTTTTTATATTCTTGCAACTAATTGCTACAGAATATTTTTTGTTCACCTAAGGGTTGTACATATCACCTAAACTAAGTGAGATAGATATAGGGTTTTACAGTTACGGACAATAAAATAGAATCAAAGGTTTTGCTTTAATTAAATTAATTAAAAATTAAATTTTTCATTTATGTAGTAAGTTATCTGCATAATAACAAAGGCGATAATATGTGCTTTTAAAAAAAGAGGAAAAGATAGCATTGTCGAGTTTCAATATCTAAATCGTTTCATAAATGAAAAATATTGAATTTAAAAAGCGTAATAAGTAGTTGGAGGATGGAGTCATGTGTAGAAGTTTCCGCATGTGAGGCAAGTGCTGTGGTCGCCATTCACTTGGGAGTGGCCAGAAACGATTATTTTACATATGGCTCAAGCAGCTTACGACTTCTGGTCTTTGACTAAGTTGTCTCTTTGTAGCCTAAGAACATCCATTTGATGGCGAGCTAAAGTGAGAAGGCGAAGATTGAAAAAGAAAGAGGCCGAAATGCGTGAGTATGAAGAACTTGATAAGCTGGCCGACAGCGGTAATGCTCGAAAATTCTACGAAAGAATGTGGCGGCTAAGAGAAGGTTTCAAGACCGGAGCAAACTCTTGTAGAACCTCCAAAGGTGATCTAGTCATCTATGCCCAGAGCATACTCAAATTATGGACGGAACACTTCTCCAGCCTGCTGAATGGCTGTGAAAGTGCAAGGCCAGGAGAAGGCGAACCCGATTCCCCAATCGATGACGATGGAGCAGATATCCCATTGCCCGAGCAAGAAGAAGTTCGAATAGCAATTACCCGTCTGAAGAATTACAAACCGGCGGGGGGCGATGGATTGCCGGCCGTCTATTCAAGCATTCAACAGCTTCTTTGTAAAATATGGTCGGCAAAGAATTTAAGTGTGCTCTGCCCAATCCACAAAAAGGGAGTCCCACAATCTGCGCCAACTACCGTGGGATAAGCCTCCTCAACATCACGTATAAGGTTCTATCGAGCGTATTGTGTGAAAGATTAAAGCCCTCCGTCAACAAACTGATTGGACCTTATCAGCAACCGACCAGATATTCACCATGCTCAAAATTTTGGAAAATACCCGTGAAAGGAGAATCGACACACACCACCTCTTAATCGATTTCAAAGCTGCTTTCGACAGTACGAAGAGGAGCTGCCTTTATGCTGCGACTTCTGAATTTGTAAACTAACGTTGAGCATGATCAAAAGCTCCGTCAGGATCGAGAAGGACCTCTCCGAGCCGTTTGATACGAAACGAGATTTCAGACAATGCGACTCTCTATCGTGCGACTTCTTCAACCTACTTCCAGAGAGAAATTAAAATTAGTTGGTGAAATCTTAGTTTGTACGAAAAAACGAAAATTCCTATGTTAAATGAATGGGAACCTAAAAAAAAGTTAAAATCTGGTTGACTGTCTGTCCGTCCGTACAAGATGTAACTTGAGTAAAAATTAAGATATCTCGATGAAACTTGGAACAGAAGTTCCTTAATACAAAAAATTTACGGGTTCGTAGATAGACGTAACCGGACTACTGCCATGCCAACAAATCGCCATCAACCAAAAACATATAAAGTGCCATAACTAAGCACTCAATTAAGATATAAAATGTACATATTACCTAAACCACTTTAGCTACAACAACCAAGTTTGGTGGGGACAAAACTTATAAAAACTTTTACCGACAGTAACATAACAACATAACCCCGGCCACTCCCTATAAATTGGTACTGTTAAAAACTACTAAAAGTGCGACAAATCAATTACTAAATACGCCAGAGACATTAAATTTTACCACCAAGATGATATGAGAGACCTTTATGGGAGTCAGGCTGAAAATTGGACAATGGGCGTGGCACCGCCCACTCTTTGGTAAAATCTCATATCTCGTGACCCGACCAACCGATTTCGACTAAATTTGGTCACACTTTTATATAATATTACTTTGTGAAAATATACGAAATCGGAACACAACCACGTCTACTTCCTTACAGCACAATTTTAAATTCCACTTGAATCGTTCAGTTTTCAGTACACAAATCAAGAAGTAATTAATATAAATTATGATTAAAAACTGTTTAAATCCACTAAAAACTAGGGGCTTGACTAGATACCGAATATATGGACGCCGGAACCTATAGTTAACTTTTGAAGAAAAATCTCGGTCAATGTGAGATATATATAACTGAAATTAAGGAATAATCCTTCTCTTATAATGGTATGTCTGTATCTTAAAAATGGTTGAATCGGACCAAAACTTCTTTAGCCGCCATATATAATACTTAACATTCGAGCTCTCGGGTGACATTGTACCGCTTATATCGGCCAATATGTCAAAAAAAAAAAAAAAAAAAAAAAAAA